TTTGCTAATGATGAATCTGAATACAATGATACAATTTCAAGATTGGTATATGTTTCAAATGATCCAAATCCATGTCGAGGAAGATGATGGTGATCTAGATTCTTCCCTTGAACTAATTGATGTGTTGCAAAATAAAGGCCAAAGTTGTAGTCAAATGTGATAGACTCATACAAGAAGAAAATGGTGAGAAAAGATTCGAAAAAAAAAAAAAAAGGAGAGAAAAAAAGAGAGAAAAAAGAGAGAATAAGGAAATCTTGCTAACTTAAGTTGAACAATTGTTATCATTTTGAGGTCTAAAGTAAAAAGCTCAAGGACCAAAGGCCATCCTTCATAAGCCTAATTCCCAAACACTTTACCCAAAAGTGTCATCCTTTTGTTAACCATGTTGAGCCTAAAAAGAAAAGTGGGCTTTTTCTTTCATACTTATCCCAAAACCGGGGAATATAGTTACATGCCTAATTGGGGCCAAGATCATATTGCTAAAAGCCATAAAGAGAAATCTCAAAAGAGGAGCGAAGTTCAAAGAGAGCAAAATCTCAACAAAAGGAAGAACAACAAAAAAAAAAAAAAGAAAAAGAAAAAAAAGAGAGAAGATAAAAGAGAAATGACAATGCAAATGTCACATGGCAAGGGTTTAAAATAGAAAGCTTCTAGCTAAGGCATGTAACTTGGGGGGCATGTTGGTTAATTTTGAGCCTTTAATTCCCATTCTTATTATCAAACCTTAACCAAACCCTATTATAACCCAAAAGAAAAGTCCTTTTTGAGGGTTTTGAAGCTTTAGATATCAAAATGATGGCAATCATTAGACTAAAGATAGCAAATCATGATCAAATTCAAGAGCTAATAGATTTAATGATGAGAGGTTATATTTGTTTATCTTAAATATTTTACATTGTCCATAGTCATCCTTTTTGAGCCTAAAGAAAAGGCAATCATCCAAACTATAAGAGTCGAGATGATTCTCTTGTGAATTTGCCTACATCATGAACTTGGGGAGTGAAGAGTGATTGGGAAGGGAAAA